GAATCAAACCCAGGGCCTCATGCATACTAGGCAAGCACTCTCCCACTGGGCCACCTTCCCAGCCCTAGTTAAAAACTTTTTGAGACATAACCATCACCTAATCAGATGAGTTGAAACTTTTCCTAGACCAACCCTTCAATTATGATTCTCCTGAAATGTGGTGTTACACTTTACTGATAAGTATTTTCTGGATAGTTTTAATTTGCTGGTTAAAATTTATCCAAAAGACAGTAATTGTATGTTCTAGTGGATGAAAAAAAAAGCCAGGGACATTTTAAAAAGCTAAAATACCTTGAGTTCCTAGGTAACATTTCATTGGCATTGCTGCAGGCTATAATCATGCTGGTTTTAATGCTTCTCTTTTTAAAAATCCATTCGTAAGCCTTCATAAGAATAAATTGCTAGAAACAATGCATATAATGGCAATGGCCATGTTACCGTACAGTTAGATGGGGCTTCTGCAGCTCACAAAGCAGTAACAATAATGCTAGAACTCTTTTCTAACCGGAAAGTCATATGTCCCCTACTGGGGAGGTCGCTGGAGGACTAGGAGGAGGCTTTGAGAGGTTTGGGGAGGTCAGAATGGCAGTTGGACTGAAACAGAAGAGAACAGCAATAACCACAGCAGGTTACTAGAGGACACTTCAATCTTATTTATCTATTACTTCAGCATCAGACCTATCTGCAAGTTGGGGGTGAGTGTATAGGATCCAATAAAGGATCAGAAAGACTATAGAACACTGAGCCTGAGCACTCAGTGCACAGGAGTCTCATCAAGTATTATCTTCTCCTGACACTGGAAGTTCAGGAATCTTTCCGTTATTATCATTTTATTGTGTTTCATCTAGATAAAAGGATTCCATATCCTTATGCAATGTAGTCACTCTTCTCTCTCTCTCTCTCTGTATATCTATATATATAGATATATATATATACACAATCTAGCAGGAATTCCAAAAGCATAGTCTTAGATCTTGAACATCAAATATCCCAGGCAGGGCTGAGAAGTTGGCTCAGTGGTAGAGTGCTTTCCTTATGTGCGTGAGGCCCTGGGTTCGATTCCTCAACACCACATAAGCAGAAAAAGCTGGTAGTGGCGCTATGGCTCAAGTGGTAGGGCACTAACCTTGAGCAGAAGAGCTGAGGGACAGTGCCCAAGCCCAGAGTTCAGGCCCCATGACCGACAAAACACACATACACTAAAAAAAAACAAAAACATCCCATGCAGCAAATTTTCAATTGGATCTTGAATCTCTGTTTCCAATATCAAAACCCCCTAGCAATTATGACAGACATAGTAACATTCTGGCTACAGAATAGAAAACACTTACTGAATAGGAAATACATGAAATACTGTCTTGAAGAAAGTACTTTTATGTCTGTTTCAGTACTTCATGTTCTGGTTGGAATTCACCCTCCAAAAAAGATGGTGATTCTTCATTGAGCACCATGAAATAGAAGGGTTTAGGCTATACATTATTTCCTATGAAACTTTTGTTACTGAAAATTATATTAAACAGATGAAAGCTAAATATATAAAAAAAAATTTTATATCGTCTTGCTTTACTTTCATGTTTAGAAAGTACATTCATTTTCTCGTATCAGACAAATCGTCTTACATGTCCTTCTAATTTCATTTTAAAATGTGAATTCTTTTTCATTATAGTTCATTCATTGTACTACAGGAATTTATGTTTTACTATATGACAAATTGCTTTACTATCTTCTTATCTCAGTCTCAATTTTAAAATTTTTTCATGTCTGTCATACCGATTGGAATGACAATGTCCATATATGACATTCATATCTTTTACTAATGTGTACTTTTTCCTTGTTATACATATTTTCTTTTCCCAAATATTTTTTGTGCTATTTCACTTGTAGACTTTACAAGATGTTTCTAATTGGTATTATACATCTCCAATCACTGAAAATGAACATTTTTCATTTTCAAAAAATTTTTGCTGTTCTCACCTGTTTTCTTCTAATTAAATTTGCAAGTATGTCAATAAGTCCTAAAATGCCTTTTAGACATTTTGTGTAGAATTTCATTGAATATCAAATAATGTCAGAATGAGTTACATTTTGTTTTAAAATTGCATATCCACACTTTTATGAATACATTATACTTCACCCAGAAGCCAATTTAGGTCTTCTGTGAGATGGTAGAGTGCTTTTTACATGGTCTTTGCTCACTGACTTACATTTTTACTACGTATTCATATTTAGTGTATTATTTCTCCAATTATCTATTGTCTTATCTTGATAAAGTAATAAAACAGAAAGTGATTTATATATACTTATTAATAACCAAACTATGTGTTGAAATCCCAGGATTTATTATATACTTGTTCAACTGGTATTTTTGTGGACCACCCAAATCACTCATCAAATAGTGATGGTAATTTTGTCTTTACCTGATAATAATTTTCCTACTGGATTTTTTTAATTTCCTGCTATATTGCATGGGCTAAAATTACCACAATAGGGTTAAGTAACAGAAGGTAATATCTTTCAGATGTACTAATAATGTCAAACTTGCTTGAATACTTCAAGTTTGTCATTTGCTTGAAGTATTCTTTATCTCACAAAAGGAGAGTTTTGTTTCCTGGTTAAGCAGTAGATAAGTATTTTCAATTTTGTCGAATGTCTTTCTAATATATGTTCAAAGTTATTTAAGTTGTTATGAAATCTCATTTGTAAGATTCAGTCCACAGTAGTAGTTTTTCCACATTCTGGTGGTATTTTCCCTTTAATACTGTATTTTAATATAAACAAGTAAACTTTTTGGCTTAATGCTTAGTTCTGTTGATTTTGTGAATTCATTCCATTTTATTTTTATCTTTGATTCCTTTCTAAATCAACTTTATTAAAATGCTTATGATCATTGATATTTCTGATGAATTTGTGCGTGTGTTTGTTGCTTTTTGTCCGTGTTATACAATATCTGAGAAAAACAACTCAAGAAAGGAAGGATTTGTTTTGGTTCATAGTTTTAGCATCTTTAGTGCATGCTTACCTGGCTCCATTGCTTCAGAATGCACATGAAGTGAAATTATCATAGAGAAAGAATGTGGGGGGCTGGGGGTTTAGCCCAGCGGAAGGGCGCCCACCCGGCACGCAAAAGGCCCCGAGTTCGGTCCTTAGCCCTGGGGAAAAAAAGAACGAAAGAAAGAATATGGAAGAAATAAGCTGTTCTCCTCATGAAAGCCCGGAAGCAGACAAAGGTAGACCAAAGCCAGGGATGCGATATATCCATTAAAAACACAATGCATCTGCCTCTTAACAGCCCATTCCCCTATAAACTCATCCATGGAGATCCACTGATTAACATAATTCCCTCATGATATAGTAATATGTCAGTAGTGATACCTGCCAGAGGCCTGGTCTTCAACATATTGATCAACCTTTGGAAGAAGGGCATCATATCCAAACCAAAACAATGGATTTAAGATATGTGTGATTACTGAAAGAAAAAAGTCACTAAAAGATGTCAGCAATGGAATTCTATGGCTCCATCAGAAAGAATGACATTGCCCCATTTGTTAGGAAATGGAAAAACTTGGAAAAAATTATATTAAGTGAAGTAAGCCAAGCCCAAAGAAACATAGGTCCCATGGTCTCCTTTATTTGCAATAACTAGTATATATCTGAGTCTAGCAGAAAAGGTCAGATAAGTTAATGTTAGGGAAATGAACCCTAAGATATGTATTCAAATGTTTTTTGTTCTTTCATGTGATTGTTTCTAACACATTTGTAAGATTATTTCTTTGTTGCTTTGTATGTCCCTCCCCCATGGTATAACCCCCGCTTTCACTGAATTTGATGTCAGTATAATTTGTGGAAGGGAATGGAAAAAAACAAATTGTTTAACTAGGAATACAGGTGGACCCATGGCAACAATGAGATGTACAAGTCGTTATGTCGAAAATGAATTTTACAACTTTGGTGGGGAAGGGGGAGGAGAATTGGGTGGGGGGTGGGGGAGGATGGGAAAGGATGGGAAGGGGAAACAAAGGAGGAAGCTACAATGCTTGATAAAAAATGTACTCATTATCTTGCCCATGTAATTGTAACCCCTCTGAATGGTATTTTCACAATAAAAAAAAGACCAAACCAAAAAAAAAAAAGAATCTAACATATATTCTACAAAATTAAGAAGAGTGAGGGAAAGGTTGGGTAAGGAAGATATGGGTGAGAATGTCAAAAGAGATGACATTGATTGAGATATATTCATAAACTGCTTTGTTAAATGGCAACACTTTTATACAACTACTTAAAGATAGACAGACAGAAAGACCGATGGATCAATCGATCGATTGATTGATTGATAGATCGATAGATAGATAGAGCAAAAAAAGTTGTCACAAATTATTTCCTATAAAGGTATCTCCCTAAATAATTACACAAAAGGTTATGGGGTTATAGTTTCTTCAGTGCAGTGGCCAACTAAGGTATTTCCTATAACTCCAACTATGAGATATCCATAGTACACAGTTTCCTATTTAATAATAAAAGACATAAGAGCAGAAATCCAGTGGTTGGCAGGGCATGTTTGTCATGTCTCTTCACTATAAGTTGTAACTATCTATCTAAAACTTAGGTTAGAAACAAGGGAACGATCCGTATTGAGTATAATAGATCTACCAGGCTTAAAAGACTTATAATCCAATGGAGTCAATAATGCTTGTAACAACTCCAAAGACTGAGCCTCCAAAAGAGATGAGTCCCATTGCAAGAATCAAAACTCACAGCTCAAAGACATGCCTTCCTCATAGCCAGTCATAACTCTTCTAGTCCAAATGACCAAATGACATTTACCACCCAGCAGATCCACGTACAAATAAACAAAAGTGCAAATTCTCACTGGGGTTACTTTGATATATACATCCTATGATCTTTGGCATAACTAACATATGTCAGTGGACTATTTCTAATCTTATGTTACTGGAAATTCCAACACTAAATCCTGTTTTCTTCTTTGCTCCACATGTACGTAGGTAAAACATGGAAATTATGCTTTTGTATGGGATGCAGCTGTGTTGGAATATGTGGCTATCAATGATCCAGATTGCTCCTTTTACACCATCGGGAATACTGTCGCCGACCGGGGTTACGGAATCGCACTGCAGCACGGCAGCCCGTACCGAGATGTCTTTTCACAAAGGTAAGTTAAGTCCCAAAGAGGAAAAGAGACATTCAGACAAAACACTTCCTTCAACAAAATAATCTATTTAAACACAATAACCCAATGTAGCTTTGTTGCACTTTATTTGCTTTGACAGGAGAAGCAGAATAAACAAGGAAATGGTGGTGGCTGCTGCCTGTGCCATCAAAAGATTTTCTACCAAAGCATGTATTGAAGTGATATTTCTCCCATAAATACAGAGAAGTACTGCTCGCTCTAACTTATCTCACTCGCAGGAATGTGATATGCCAAAGAGTATAGGAGTGCTGGAAAATTCTTTGAGAACTCAATTGATCAGTCTTGTCTCTCGATTTTGGTGACTACCAAACATCATAGAGTAAGGTAGACTAAATCATCTTGAAGAGCATTAAAGATGTTCAATGCAGGACCAAGTTATATTTATATCGTACTGAAGTGAATAAATGTGGAGATCTTCCCATGTGATTTTTCTTGACTAAAAAGTTTTTTCATATATACATATATATACTGGTCTTGGGGCTTGAACTCTGCACTACTAGTTTTTGTGGTTAATTGGAGTAAGAATCTCACAGACTTTCCTGACAAGTCTGGCTTTGAACTGTAATCCTTAGATCTCATCCCATTAAATAGCAAGGATTATAGGCATGAGCCACCAGCACCCAGCTTTATAATTATATTTGTCTTTCTTGGTTTCTCCATTGTTTCATACAATGGGCAAACATAAGAAGACAAAGAAAGCATAGCCATCATCTGCCTTTCTTCTTATACTTCACTATAAGATTTATGATTGGATTCTCACAAGGAAGGTAGAAAATATTCCTTTACCTTAAAAGCACAGAGCTCTAATCCTGTTATTCCCCAATGAGAATTGGATATTATTTGAGTGTTTTTGTTGCCATTTCAGATGGAGGAGCAAAGTAAATTCATTAATTATCCACTTAGGGGCTCCCTGAACAGAGAACCGGAACAGAGAACTCTGCACTTAGTTGACTAGAAGGAGCCCTAGCAAAGTAGTTGTGAAAGAAACAATTAATGGGTTTCCCTTTAGAGACATAATGTATAAACTATCCCCTAGCTCTGAGAGCAGAAGTGACATTATCAAGAAACATATGTAAACATTAAGCAATATGAAATTGAACAGTTAAGTATACAGAATATAAATACGCATTAAAAACTTCTTATATACACTTCTCTAATGCCAATACTACGAACCCTCCACCAGCCTTGTGGGGCTCTGAGGAGAGAAATGTTTGCCTAGAGTGTCTATCCTCAACACTACTGTGGTACTCTGAGAAGTAGTGAGAATGTTCTTAGAAGGATGGGAAGAAGCAACTAGAAGAAGGGACGTGCGGAGCTCTGTGGAATTAAAGCAATACCCAGAAGCCAGGATGCTGAAAGGAAAAGGACATACAGATCTGCAGGTCCCTCATTTCTCTTAATCCTTCCAAAGATCTCTTGTCCTCCTTAGATTATGGACGCCCTATTTCATTCTAGACACAGCTAACGCTGAAGGGACTTTGAAAAGCAAGGATTATTTTTTTAATCCTAACTCCTAGTATTTATTTCAAAGAATCTTTCAGCCTATACAATAGCCAGTAGGATAAGCATGAGGCCCACAATCCTGGATCCAGATACTTCCAGGAAACACATCTGCTTCTTCTAAAACCATCTCCTCTGTCTCCAGATTTCAGTAGATATTGTATTATTTTTAAGAGAGTTATTACAGTAATAAAAATTAGGTCTGGCTAAAGAGTAAAATTTTGAACAAAGTATTTCAGAGAATAGAATTTCAATTCTCTCTCTCTCTCTCTCTAAGTAATTATTGACTTTTCTGGAAAATCATCTTAGTCCATTTTACTCAAATCATTTTTTTTAATTCAAAGAACCATTTTACTCCCTAGACATGGCTTCAATGCATGTTTTACTGCTTTAAATTTGAACAGAAAATTTGATGCCACTGAGGAAAAATCAAAGAAGATACTGTTTTTTGATAGTCCCTTAAATTATTATAACAGTGCCATCAAGGTATTCCTGTGATGTATTCCAGATGGATTTCCATGATAATTATGTAGATAAAGGAAACAAGCATAGAATTTGAGACGACTGGGACTTTGGCATGCATTTAGATGAACTTTCTAATTTATTTTTTATAGTGAAAGCAGGGGTTATATTGTGGGGGAGGGACATACAAAGCAACAAAGAAATAATCTTATAAATGCGTTAGAAACAAATGGAACTTTCTAATTTAAAACTTAATCCAAGAAGGAAAGTTAGGTGATGGATGAAGAATCTAACCCTTGGTCAAAATCTACTCTGGAGACCACTGGTCCAGGGTCTTGGTCCAGGATCTTGTCTCCAGCCCTGTTTTGCTAGTTATTGTCTTCAAAAAAAATCCAAATGTCTATGTTTAAAACTTAGTAGTAGAATAAATGTTTTAGAAGCAGTTCCAGCAATATATGACATAAGGGAGCAAGGGTATTAGTTAGAAAATATGTTCAAGGGAGCCATATAAACATCATTAGAACATCCATTTTAAATTTGTCATTGCTTTGTAGACAAAAGAAAAAAATAGTACCAAGATGGATAGCATGCTTCAGAATGTGTTATTTACAACTTAGACAGTTATAGTTTAGAGTAGTAGTTAATATTCATTGAAGACCTAGGTGCCTTGTTACAGCATTAAATTGCTATCTAAATTAGATATTTAAGCCTCAAAATAAATGTGAAGTACTAATATTAACCTCATTTTGCATATACGGAAACCGAATCACAGAAAAAATATACTTGCCATTTTTCCTGGTTCAAAGCTAACAAGCGCCATAGCCAGGTTTGGAACCCAAGGTATCAGATTCTACATTATTCTTGCTCATTCTGCCAGCATTTTAGGTAAGAACCAATGCAGGAAACAACTAGCATGCAACCTGCCCTCCTACCTGCTCAGGTAGCTACCTTCCTGAGCAGGTCTAAGGAAGGAATAAAAAATGCTCAAAGGCATTTTAATGTTTAATGAGACATTCAGTTTAAATGAAACATAGTTGGCTTAGGGAAACTTAAACACCAAAACTGAACTCTCTGAGGAGAGGCAGCTCTATCTGAAGTTGAAGCTGGCCTCTAGCCACCAATGAGAAGTCAACAACAAATGTGCTGCAAACAGAAAGTCGTGGGAAATGCTGTAGTATTTTCCCTCAGCTCATCTTCTTTTGCTATAAGTAGCTTAAGACACTACTTAACCAAAGCTTTAATTCTGCCTTCATAGAAAGAATTTTAATTCATTATGACTTTTTAATTGGTAACATCCGTAATTACCTCTTATCTATCTCATTTCATAGTTATTTGAGCAGCTCAAATAAACTCACATTATAATTGGTTAGGCTGTCTACTCATATATTGAATGTTTGCTAATAGGAAATAGAATCTGCTATTTCTGGATATGAATTATGGCTAAGGTTAAAATAGAAAAAAAATTCCATATGGAATAAGCTCCTAGATAATTCTAAGAGATGCCCTAGTGATTTGTGTTTATGGAAACACCAACTTAAACAGAAAAACAAACCTCAGTGTGTTGTTCACTCACTTCATTTTCTGAACAATCCATTCTGCCATGAAAGTTGTTTATGTTTTTTAATAAGAAATCAGAGGTTATTTTGTTTTATATGTTACTGACCTCAGGAAATACATGTAATAATCTTGTGACATTCTTTCCAACATTCTTGAGGGGTAAGAATATGTAAACCCAGTGAGAGGAGCGGACAAGCTAAAAATTACATATATGTGGGCTTCCTGCTCTGATAGGATTTCCAACTTCCTCCACAATAATGATTCTCGTAAGAACATTTTTTGTTCTAATAATTTCTCTCAACCTTCCATTCCTTTTTCATTGACTTCTTGGTATTCTCCCATCTTTGAGCTAATCATCATGAATGTTACTAGTGTGGATCTCTTTTTGTTATTGTGTTAGCAAAAAAAAAATGTTTAAAAGTACCCTCCAAATCAGAATATATTCAATAAAATGGTTTAGAATCCTTGTTTAAAAATTGATGAGAGGATATACATGATGCACCGGGATATTCTTGTCCATCCTTAATTGTGGACCAAACTATCTCAATTGGAGACACATAAAATCATTGAAAAAGTAAGTAAAAACCATTCTGCTCTCAACTTCTGTGATATCAACTATTTGAAATTGCCCATCTGAATATCATATGGTACTTGTTATTCTGAACCTGGCCCTTTTTCACTTCTCATAATGATCTCTAGTTCAATCCATGTTGTTGTAAATGGCTGGATTTCATTATGGCAGACTATGATTCCATTGTATATATAACACATATGTCATTAATCCATGAGTTGATTGACACATGGTCTCCATTTCTTGGCTAATGTGAATAGTGGTGAACATGTCTCTTTGACATATCAATTTGAAAATATGTGGGTGTTCTGATAGTCCCAGAACAATTTATTGGAGAGGCTGACAGTTCCTTGATGTACATTATTAGCACCTTTGTTGAAAATCAGTTGGCTCTACTGTGTGAGTTTATGTCTAGGCTGTCGATTCTATTCCATCACTGGTGTGAATCTTTTATTAAGTCCAACTTTTATTAGTGCCATGCTGCTTTGATTAGTACAGACACATAATTGAAGGGTACAAAAATCAGTCTAGGAAGAATATATATTATGAAATGGGAATTGACTAGCATTGAGGGTATCAGTTTGAAGTTCATTGTTATATCTCCATTGATATAAACTCCAAGAAGACTGAAAGCTTTATTGAGATGTATTCTCAACATCTAGTAGAATGTCTACTAACTAGCTGACATTTGAGAGAATTAGTTGGGTAAGTGATGAATATTTGAATGACCAAGGAAAGGTAAAATCATAGTGACATTCTTTAGCCTTGCTGGCTGTGAGATAGGGAAGCCATTCGTGGAAAGGAAGTTAAAAGAAGAAACTTGTTTGAGAGGTAAGTGTTAAACCTGTTAGAGCGTTAAACTGGTAAAAAA